TGGGGCGACGGAGTCTTCCTCCCTCCCACGCCGCAGCCCAGCCAAGATCCTGCTTGCATCCCACCTCGATCAGCCGAGCCCGGGCACCAGGGATGGGTGAAGCTTTTAGCAAACACAGCAGCTGCCTCTGCCGAGCACTCCAGAGTGCTGCGAATGAGCAGCGCGCTCGTCGGCAGCCGCCCTCATGAATATTTTAGCTGGGAGAATTAACATTTGTCAAGAAGCATTTATGGAGGCAGCGTGGATGTCTCTTCCCCAGGCGCCGCAGGCTCACGGCCGCTCTGGGAGCCAGGGCAGAGCCAGCTGGAGCCCGAGCCCTTCCCGGGCAGCGTCACGGCGGAGCGGGACAGCAGAGCCATGATCTCCCCCCGCCTGGAGCCCCGGTGCCAAGGCAACGAGCCCGCCATGCGAGATAGACAAATGGTTGTGGTTTTGTTTTGTTGGTTGTGTTTTTTTTTTTTTTTTTTTTTTTTTTTTTTTTTAAGGGGGAAAAAAAAAAAAAAAGAAGCCTTCTCCACTGTCTATAATATTTTTCAATATGCAGAATATGGTTGTTACCGTGGAAGAGAGCGGAGCACACGGCTCTCCCTCCCAGACTTTCAGATGACATCTTTAGTACGAAAGCTAAACAGCAGAGGAAAACATCCTTCTTTTCCAGCGGGCATGAGGGGGAAATCGCAACCCCTCGCCCCTGCGGCCCCAAATGGCTCTGGTGGCACCTGAGGGGGTGGCCCTGGCCCCGGGACAGCCCGGATGGCGAGCGGGCAGCGGCGCCGTCAGCCTCTGCCGGGCAGCTCCGCGCCTCCGCCGGTCTCAGCCCCCCCGAGTCCCCGGGGCGGACACCCCTGTTTGTCCCCGTTTGGGGAAAAATCTGCAGGCTTCAAACCCCGCTTTTCCCGTAGTTTTCCCCCCTGGGCGACGGTCCCTCGTTTCGGAGTCGTTCCGAGCAGGGGCGATCTTTTTTTTTTTTTTTTTTCTTCCTCTCCTGGTTCTTGGCAGAAAGTAAAATGTCCCTTTTGTTTGGTTTTCCTCCTCCTCCCCCTGCCCCATCGCCTTTCTTTAAAGGTTGTGTTCCAGATTTCATCAACCCACGTTGTGTAATAGCCCCGGAGAACGGCGTGGGCATTGGCCGTGTCCCACCGAGGTCATAGCAGAGCTGCTCCTCGGGAGCTTGACCGCGGGGTTACCTGCTCGGAGGACGTTTTGTGTACCCTTGCTGAACGAAGCTCTGTTGTATTTTGGATCGAGCTCCTATGTGTTAGACATGAAGGGGAAGGTACTTGGAGAAAATCAGGAAATTTTTGAATCTAAATAATGCTGTATTTCTACTTCAGCCCTGCAAAACCATATGGAAGCAAGGGTCTCGTGCAGATAAATTCTGTTGACTATACAGCATCAGCCCCTGCGCCCAGGAGTTCATCGCCCACAGAGCATCCTCCTGCTGCAGCAGCCAGGTCTCCACAGTAATGTTCTGCTTGGGATTTCTTCTGTGGGGCTTGAAGAGGTCCCCATTCTTTCTTTCCCTCCTTTCCTCTGTCCAGGGTGGGGGATGCTGTAGTTGCTGGGCTCTGTATCCTAAGAGCATCCATCCAAAGGTCCCTGCATCTCCTCCGGAGGCTGCTGGCGTTGTGGATGTAGAGAGGATGGTGTGACTTGCGTCCTGGGCACCCAGGAAGGGAGAGGAGGAGGAGGAGAGCATACTATAGGCTTTGTGTAGTATGGAGAGGGACGCTGCAAGCACGTGTGTGTGTAAATAAGGATCTGTCATACCAGAGGGAAACAGCAACGCGATTGTTTCTTGGCTGCAGTTCCTCTGCTCGTACTGGCAGCGTGGAGAGCTGTAGTTGCTCATATCATGGGGGTGCTGCCTTCCCTTGTGCCGGCACATGGTGAGTGGCCAGAGGTGGCTGGTGGCACCGAGGAGAGCTGCTGCTCCTGATGGTGCCTGTAATGGTGTCTCCTCTGCTGCTGCACCCTCTTGTGCTTCCACACCTAGGCACCAGATCCAGTCATGGAGTAGCTGCATGCCCCATCCCACTGACAACAGCATGGGAAATGGCAAAGGCAGGGCCAGCACCTGGGGACAGGGCTGTCCCCGAGGCGAGCACCAGCAGAAGCCAGCAGCTGGGCTGAACCTGAGCATCCACCCCTGCCTCACCAGGACACAAAGCCTCCCCATGGCCCTGGGGTCCGACGCTGGGTTCAACCTTCTATCAAAGCTCTTCAAAGGGCTGCTTGAAGTCCCAACCCTGTTATTGTTCTGGTGTCTCAGCCGTATAACACCTCCCTGCTTTTGCATTTATTTATTCCCTTCCAATTGATGGAGCCATGGGGTCCTTACCTGCTGTGGGACCAGCCTGGGGACCAGCTCTGCTCATCCTTCCCTGGGGGGATCCTCAGAAACCTCCCAGTGCAGAAAGAGATGCTCAGAGGCAGGAAGGGGGTCTGTGTGTCCTCGTCTTCTGCTCCAGAGTCTCTCCTGTCTCCCCTGCTCCCACACCACTGCCCTGCAGCTTCGGCACATGAGGGCTGTCCCTGTTCTCCTGGTTCCCCAGGGAGAGCAGCTATGTGCCATCACCAGCTCCTTGCCCAGCTATCCCTGGCCAGATCTGAGGTGCTCCTGGGGTGCAGCAATGCCTGAGACCCATCCTTTTCCTCGGTGGAATTTCCGTGTGCACCTTTCCCCTTGGCACCATCTGCATTTCACTTTGCTTCAAAGTGCCTGCGCTGCCTCCAAGGAAGGAAATAAATGGTGTAAAGGAATTTACATCCCGAGCAAGCGATGCTGCTGGTCCGTTGGGTTTCGTCTGCTGCTGGGGGGCACAGGGGGGCTGCCCCCTCTTCATAGGGGCAAGGTGGGCAGCTCTGGCTTTGTTTGCAGCCCCTCTTCTGGCATCCTGGCTCGGTGGACAGGGAGCCATGCATGCGTCAGGCTGTGCGAGACGCCAGCATTCACCCTCACAAGGAGGGGTGCGTGGCAAAACCACTTCACAGGGCTGGCCTGGTGGTGGCGGGGGCCCCAAACCGGCTCCTCTGCTCCAGGTGTGCTTGGGTCGGGGCTGGGGAAGCCGCCCTGAACGCTGCCGTGGGGTTAGAGAGAGGAGAGCAGGCGGGTTTTGCAGGGAGCCGTCTGTCTCCTCCTCTCCTCCTGTCCCAGCTCCCTGCCAAATCCCTGCCGGGCCTCCTGGGGAGTCAAGGGGTGCCTGTGGCAAGAGGGGCCGAGTGGCCACAGGGACCATGGCTCCCTCCTGGAGCTGCCCTCATCCTCTTTTTTTCCCCATCCTGGATGCATTCCCTGGTGCAAAAATGTTCTGGGTGGGGAAGGAGGTTGGTCCCAGACCTTACAGTCCTGGAGGACTTGGCTGTGCCGAAGGCCAGTGAGACAAAAACGTTTCTGAGACTCCACTTGGAGCAGGAGAAAGTTTTTCCGTTGGGTTTTTATAGCTCCCGGAAAGCGGGGTTTTATTTTTGTTGTCTAAGACAAAAAAATCCTCTTAGGAGCCGACTACCCGTGGTGGTGCAGGGCGGGCGGCTGTGCCTGCGGCGTGCCGGGGGTCTGGGATCAGCTTTGCTTTCCCTGCCTTGTTCTCATGGGGTCTGTGGGTGCTGCTGGTGGAAACCCACAAAGGAAAAAAGGAGATTTTGGTGTCTCTGATGTATGACCAGTCCCGTTTTGTGCCCATGCTGGGTGCCAGTGCTGCAGGACCTGTTATGGCTCCAAGTCACCCCTGGGCTGTTGTAGGATGCTCCCACCCTGGGACACAGCAGCAGGAAAAGCCCTTTTCCTGGGGAAGGGGGCTATTTCCTGTGGCCTGCAGATGGGTAAAACCTTAGGGATTTTTTCAGATCAGCCTTAGGGGACTGATCTGAATTTCCTGGGGGCATAGGCTGCGGCCATCGAGCTCTCCCCAATCACCCCTTTTTTTTTGCATGGCGCAGGCTGCTTTTGGAGGGGTTTTACTGGCAGGGGAGCTGGTTTCCGTGGTAAAAACCTTAACAGCATCTGCCAAAAATCCACCTCCCCGTTGGCCTGACCATCTGGAGGGCAGAAGGAGGCTTTAGCAGGGTGAGGAGGTGGCCATGGGCTGCTTTGGGTGCTCCTTCGGTGCTGTTGGCACCTTGGTGGGGCCCCTCCACCTGGTCATCTGTGCCCCAGTTGACATTGGGATATTGGGGGGACCCCGGTGTCACCGAGCCTGGTGGGGCACAGGCAGGTTGGGGATGGGGGAGACGTGGCATTGCTGCCTGGGGAGCTGCAGGCACCATGCACCGGGAGCGGGTGGTCACGCTGTAATCGGATGAGCCGGCGCCATTCCAGATGGACCTGTCAGCTCTCGTCAGTGCTGACACCCCTCTGCGTCCCTCCATGTCCCCTCAGGCCAGGGAGGCTACTGCTGTCCCTCTCCACTGTGTCTGTTTGGAGCAAGGGGGCCAGGAGGTGACACTGTTTTTGCAAAGCCCATCAGGCAAACAAGGTCCCTTCCGTGCTGTGATCCCTCCCTGGCAAACTCTGTGTTTCATTAGCTTTAATGGAAAAACCTTGTATGTGTCTCCATCTATTGTGCTGGAGCCGTCCTTCACTGAGGGCAGTGGGGCCTTTGCCACCCCTGTCCCCAGGTGCCACCCCACCACCCCAGATGATTTGCAGCTCCAAACCCAAAGCCGGCCACACAGTATACCCTGCCTTGATGTCCCCACGCTGCAGTGGGGCAGCCATCCTTTGGACGTTCAGCATAGGAGAAGTGTCTTGCTGAAAGCAGTGGGCTGGACTGGGCTTTACTGGGCTGGCAGGAGTCGTACCTGCTGCTTGTGTCCCCAGAGGGGTGGCACAGGGCTTTGCTGTCTGCCAACACGGTGCACGGGATGGGTCTGAGTACTCATGGGCAGAGCATCTTGGTGTGTAGGATCCTAGTGGCCACCAGGAGAGGTTTTAGGGCTCAAGTCTGCACTCATCTGCTCTTCTCTCCTTAGACATTTCTCCTTTCTCCTTCTCCTCACAGCCAACAACGCTCCCGCAGGGCACCATCAACATGAACCAGTGCACGGATGTGGTGGATGGGGAGAGCCGGACAGGGCAGAAATTCTCCTTGTGCATCCTGACGCCGGAGAAGGAGCACTTCATCCGGGCCGAGAACAAGGAGATCATCAGTGGGTGAGTGCAGGTCCTGGGCTGAGCCGCTGCGGGGCTCTTCCCTCTGCTGAGAGGAAGAGGAGGGTGGGTAGGACCTTGCCCAAAGCTGGGTGCTATGGCAGTGGGTGCAGAGGGGGATCCCCAAGTGACAATCACAGCCTGCTGGAGGGACAGTCCTGGGGGCTGGCTGTAGCTGCTGTCTCATGTTCAGCTCCGTTTTTTCCACCTTTTTGGCAAGGACCAGGTTTCTTCCCCCTTCCCTGCTCCCCTTGCTGGTGGACTCCTGCCATCGCCTGGTGCTGTGCAGCAGAGAGGGGGCTTGAGCACCCCCAGAGCCACCAGATTTACGCTGTGAGCATGAGCACTGACTTCAGGGGACACCAGTGTGAAGGTGGATGATTTAAGTCCTTCCTCTGCGCCTTTTGTGTGTGCTCAGCTCTGCCAGGCTGGAGCCTGAGGCTTCCCAACATGCCGGCCACCTTTCAGAGCCAGTGCTCAAGGAAGCTCAGCCTCTGCCAGGAGCCTTGGCCAGGCCCCAGAGCCAAGATGCTCCTGAGTCACTCCTTACTTGTGAAGGCCACCATTTTCAAGTCACTTTTGTTGTCTGCCATTGGGCAATATCCACCTCCCCGTTGCAGAACAACGCTCCCAGCGGCGTTTAACCCCAGGATTGAGCTGAGCTACACTGGAGCGTTTGTGGGATGCTCAGAGGGTGCCTCTGATGCCCAGGTTCTCCTGGGCTGGCTGTGGCAGCTTCAGCCCCAGCAGAAAGCAGCTGGCCAGGGAAAGAAGCTTGGCCACAGGGTGAACTCCAGGACAGGGTTGAAGGTGATAGGTGAAGCTGGGGTGACCCCATGGTGCTTTTAGGACACCACCCCACACCAGCAGCAGGTCCCATAGTCCCAGGGGCTGGTGTGTCCAACCCCAAGGGCCATATGCCCTCTGGTTCTCATCCATCCCTGGGTCAACATGGTCTCCTGGGGCTGCCTGCTCTGCATTTACCCCATCCCCATTTGGATTTGTCTTCCCAGCGCCCGGCTCTCCCCGCTGGATCCCTGTGGGGCAGGGAGGCAGAGGGAGGGATGCAGCCCACCCCCTGGTCCCAGGGGAGCATCTGACCTGCAAGGACGATTAAAATACTATTGCTCATAGGAGCTCCTGCCACTGGGATGCAGTTGCTCAGCAACACTCAAGATTAGGCCACTGAAATGAGCAAATCACTGTAGATTTCCTGACTCCAGGTGTTGGATGGTGACCTAGAAACATCCTTGTCCATCCCTCACATGCTGGCTTGGGTTGGAGCCGGCGGTGGTGAGGATGCAGAGCTGTGGGAGGGCTGAGCTGCCGGCACACAACGATGGGCTGTGATGGTGCTGCTGCTCACCTGTGAGCGTTTCCCATGTGGGATGTCTGGAGCTCGGGGCCTCCCTCCAAGAATTTGTTGACATTTGAAACTAGAGCAGAAAGCTGAAGGGATGAAGCGCTCGCTCTTCCCCACTCTTCCCAAGGCAGTCTCCCAGGTCTCCCACTCTTCCCAAGCGCTCTCCTGCTTGCCCAAGCCCTGGCAGCAGCAGAGTCAGTGCTTTCTTTGAGATGATTTCTATTCCCGAGTATTGGCTTTGATTGTGACTTCCCCCCATTTTGGTAAATGCTGCTTGAAATAGGCATTTTTTTTACCAAAAGCTTAGATTTTTGATCAGATACATGTTTCCATGCCTTGAAACTTCCCTGCTCTACTGAGACACATGAACGTGGGTGATTCCCCCTCGGTGGGCTGGCAGCCCTGTCCTGTGCCAGCACAGCCCCCTCTCTGGCCCCATTTGCAGCTGTGGGGTGGCAACAGTCATGAGGCTGGGATGCAGAGGCACGGGGAAATCGTGGCACAGGGGAGCCCCCTCCTCTTCTCCAGCCAAGGCAGGAGCAATGGCTGTGCCCCCAGACATGGCCAGCCCCCATGGCTTGCTCTCTTCTCCCTCTCCCCACACTCCGGTTCGCAGCTCAGCTTTTTATTGCCGGTCGTGCCCGCCACGCAGGAGGGAGAGGCATTGCAGAGCAAGGTGGGGCTGATTTATTGTTCATTGGCCCGGTGCTGGATTTTGAAGCAGTGCATTTGCTCCTGACTGCAAGCATTAATCATCCCCAAACAGTCTCACTCTGGGTCCCAGCCAGGCGGGTTTCATTTGCAGTTGCAGCACGACAGGAAGATTTCGCCGGCCGGGGGAGAATTTGTTTTACGTTCGTTGCATGCTTCTGGCATTTATTGCTTAACCAAAACCTACTTGATGTGGTCATCTCAAAACGCTTTACAGCAGCAGCGTGTGAAGTGGGGGGGAACAGGAGAGGGAAGCAGGGACATCTGAAGCAGGAATGTTTCCCAGCGATGCATGGATCCTTGTGGAGATCACAGAGATGCGGGGGCAGGTCATCAGGCCACGGTGGGGAGGGCACAGGAGGGTCCCCCAAACAAGCAACTTGTGCAGGGGATGGACTTCTCAATGCCAAGTTCATGCTGCTCTTTCTTGGACAAAAGCGCTTTGTGTGCAGCGTTGGCATCGCTGAAGGGGGGAGGTCCTGCTGGAGGCTCTGTCCCTCTCGGCTCTCTTTCAGGATCCTTGAATCCCTATCCCATGTCAGCCTTGGCCGTGGCCTCGCTCTTGCAGTGAGCGGGGTTTGAGCCAAAGCACCCTGGGGTCATCCCTCCTCCCCTCCTGTCCTGCCTCATTTTTCCCCCAGGAGCTGGTTGGGATGATTTCTGGGTACTGTTTACCACGTTGACTCTGACCAGGTTGGAGAAGCTGAGCCCCTCTGTGTCCCCAGCTCCAGCTCCAGTTCGGGCTTGTGCTTATGGCCAAGTTACACACTGGGAAAGGCTGGGGTTAGGGGTGAAATACAGATGGTCTGTCTCTGGAGCTTGCAGGCAGCCTGCCCCAGGGACAGAATGGGGCAGCATCTCCCCAGGCAGCGTGGTCAGAGCCACCCATGGTGGGCAAACAGTTTTGGGGGCCACAGCCTGTGGGAAGCCATGTTACAGCCCATGGTTGAGTGCGAGCATCACAGACCTCACCTTCTGCTTTCTCTGCCTGCAGGTGGCTGGAGATGCTGATAGTCTATCCGAGGACAAACAAGCAGAATCAGAAGAAGAAGAGGAAGGTAGAGCCCCCGACTCCCCAGGTAACCCCAGGGGGACACACACACTGTTGCTTTGTCCCTTGCTTTCCTCTGAGGGCCACAGCATTGCTCTGCTTCTGGGGAAGATGCCCCCAAACCAGCTGGACTGGTAGGCTGCTGGCCCCCTGATGCTGCCTGCATCAGGGTGAGGGATATGGGGCCAGCCAGATCTGCAGGATGGTGTTAATTAATTCCTGGTCATCACTTCCCAGGGTCACACGCTGCTGCTGCTGCTTTTCTGGCTGCTTTGGGGCTATGTTTTGCCCCCCCAGGCACTGTCTTGTGGCACTGGCCCTGCACACCCTGTCCCCAGAGCGGCCACAGAGCCGTGTGGTCCCCATGGGGGACTGGGGAGAGGTGCTGGCCATTCACGGGCTGTTTCGGCAAAAACAGGATGAAATTCCATTGGGCTCCGGTTACCCGCTTTGAGATGACCCCGGAGATAATGGGAATGAAAGGAAAATACTAAAGGCCAGGGCCAGGCTGGGAGCTCTGGGGGCCGGAGCCGGGCTCTCCAGGGACCCGGCGGTGGCTTCGTGCTCACTTTGACTATAAATGGTAAAAAGCGGGGCTGGCCGTGACTCACTCGTTCCTGCCGGGCTCCCACGTGGCCAGAGTGGGGGAGAATCCCACAGATGGGGAACGTGACCCCGAGGCCACCCTCGTCCCTTGTCGGGGCTGAGAACAGCCATGTCCCTGAGGCCGCCTGACCTCCGGGCTAGCGTCCCACTGCCGCAGGGGACCGGCTGGGAGGGCTCCTCCGGACGAGCCAGGCTGCAGCACTGGGGGACTGGAAACAGTTCCCCTGAGAGCCCCGGTTTTCAGGTCCCTTTCAACGAAGTCCCCAGAATGGTCCTGGTGCAAACTGGGCCATGGGTGGGTTTTGTATGGTGGTTTTTTTGAAGGAAGTTTCCCCCATTGCGCCAGATAAAGAGCTTCTGGGCATTGGGAAAAAAAAAATAATCAGGGGGAAGATGATCCCTTTTTTGCACACCAAGCTGGAGGTCTGAGCTACCCCCTGCCAAGAACTGGGGTCGTCACAGCCCCTCGAGTGCTGGCTCTGGTGATGCTGCAGGGAAGATGCCTTCTCCCTCCATGGCCAAGAGCTGGTGTGTTATGAGCTGCCTGTCCTCAAGCCCTGGGGAGGGGGCTGATGCATTTGGGGTACCCTGGTGAGCTGATGCAGCAGGGCAGGGATGCTCACCCCATCCCTGGCGCAACGCTAAATACAGGCTGGGTTCAGGGAGGGGGGGGACGGAGCGGAGAGGAGAAGGGGCGCAGAGCCAGAAAAACATCATTCTGGGTTACATTTCATCACCATGGCAACTTCTTGGAAACCGTACAGGATCCGAGCTCCTGAGCACCAAATAAGGGAAGCGGCTGCGGGAAGGATGCTGGCTCCCCGCGGGCAGACGGGCTCCCCAGGTGCTTGGGGATGGGGTGAGCATAGACCCTGGTGGCAGGGAGGTCCTCCCCAAGCCCCATCCTGCTTCCTACCCTCCTTCCACCTTTTCCATCCCATCGCTGCCGGCCCCGTAGCACCAGGAAAAGTCTCAAATTCACTTTTGCAAAACCAACCTCCATGTGGGACCGGCTGCCAGATGGATGCTGCCCTGTGTTGGGCACTCAGAAGTGACCTGCAAAGGCAGAATAAGCATCTCTACTCGGTGCCTTGAATTTTGCCAATGCCAGGCAGCTGGTCCAGGGAAGGAGAAAGGATGCTGGGGAGAAAATCAGCACCAAATCCCCCTCTGTGAAATGGCTTCTTCTGAAGTTGGCTGCTGTTCAGGTTGCTCTCCGTGTGTCAGTGGAGAAAGCCTGATTTCTTTCTAAAGACGGCCACCCGCTAATCTGGCAGCGGATCATGTCTGAGAGCCACTTAGGGAGGGACAGACACCTTTGTGATTTTAAAAAAAAATTTAAAACTGGATATTTCTGCTTTTTCTCACTCCCATGTAGTTTTTCTATGTCTGTGCTACATCAGAGCCTGCCTGCAGCCAGGCATTCCTGGAGCATCAGGGCCATTTCCAGCCCCCCTGCTCGTTTTGCATCTTCCTCCTGCAGAATCACCAGGTAAAAAAAATTTAAAACAATGGATATTTCTGCTTTTTCTCACTCCCGTGTAGTTTTTCTATGTCTGTGCTACAGCAGAGCCTGCCTGCAGCCAGGCATTCCTGGAGCATCAGGGCCATTTCCAGCCCCCCTGCTCGTTTTGCATCTTCCTCCTGCAGAATCACCAGGGTGGGAGCAATGCAGGCAAAGCTAGGAATAGTGCTCCAGCTGCAGATTTTTGGAGAGGAGTTGTTGGGTGCAGCCCTAGAGGTGTTTTCACCTTTGCTGTGCAAGCAGGTTGCAGTCGTAGGGGGAAAAGGTCAGGTTTCTCTTGGAGCTTTTGCCGTGCTCTGGCCGAGTGCTGCAGGCAGCGGGAGAGACTGGAGACAGGATTTGGGGCTGAAATCTGGGATTTGAGGCACTGTTCTGTGTTGCAGGACGGGTTTGCAAAGGGGTGCGGCAGGCTCGGGTAAGCAGAGCATGCCCAGACATACTTAATTCAACTGGAGGCTGGTTTTGCCAATTTTGGTCCACGCTCCTTTTTACAGCTGCTGAGCAGCAAAGAGTTAATTTCTCTGCTTGCTTATAGACCGCTTTTGGCCCTCATCTCTTTGCCTAATTAAATGCACATCTACAAATAATTATATGGGGGTGTGCGTAAGGAATATATAAAAATACATATCCTGAGCTGGTGATTAGCTTTGAGCTTTCGGATCAATGAATGAGAGGGTGGTTGAGGTTGGAAGGACCCTTGGAGATTGTCTGGTCCAACCCCCTGCTCAAGCAGCATCCCCTGGAGCAGGACGCCTGTAAACTCGGGATCGTTTACCTCCAACACTGCATTCCTTTGGAGTGAAATTTCCAAGGGGATTTTTTTTTTTTTAAAATTGAGGTCATTTGCTGCTTGTTGTGGCTGTGCACGGAGCCAGGACCCGCTCCCTGGGAGATCCCCCGGCGCAGCCCTGCGAATGCTGATTTGGAGGTGCAGGGCTAAAACCCACCGGTGGCTCTGCTGATGTGGGAGAGGGGATGGAGGGGATGCTCTTCACAGCCTGTCCCCCCCAGCCCATGGCTGCTGGATTGGGTGCTCCTGGGTTCCTCCTGCTCCGGGGAAAGGAAACAAGCCAGGAAACTTCCCACCATCCAGAGACTTTGGAGAGGGGTTAATTGTCATTGATTTATCGGTGGCTTTAAGGAAAATAATCTGCTAATGCAGAAGCTCGACACGACAAGAGCAGAACATCTGCTAGTGAACAAAGCCAAACCCTAAAGGAGTTGTGAGAGCTGCTGCCTCTTCTGGGGCGTGTGCCCAACCTGGGCTGCCCAGGCTGCGGCCACCGAAATGGCATCATCATCTGATGGGCTCCAGAGCCCCTCATGAGCTAGAGAAGCATTGAAGATGATGGGTATTGTTTTAAAATAGCACAAAGCTCAACGCAATGCTGTATTTCCTTTTTAAGACAAGCAGCCCGTTAGGTAGGCGAAGCACCCGGGAGGAGTAGAGCGCTGGTTGGGTTTTATTCTTTTTTATCAATGGCCCAAAGCAATCCAGCTGTGACAAAGGATACGGCTGCTGGTGGCAGGGAATTAATATCATCTTCCATCCCTATAGCTTGGATTCTTTTTCAATGTTAGTTATAACACTGAGAAAATTCAGATGGGACCTGGGAGAGAAGCCTGGTGTTGGTCTGTATTTGAGAAAGGCAGCAGCTGCCCGTGAGACAACCCACAGAGGAACCAGGGAGACGTGGAGGGAAACGGGGGACGCTGTGTTTATTGGCACCAATTACAGAGGGTGCACTGTCACCCCAAAATGGGTGTTGGCGGAGGTGACAGGAGCATTTCCAGGTTCCCTGTGAGTCAGGACCCAACAGACCTGTTTCTCTGCGGGTCTGCGGCGCCGCACGTGAATTCGGGTGCAGAGCCCCACATGTGCTTTGGACAGCTTTTGGGAAGCTGAATGCCAGGGAAGGGCTTTTCTTCATTCAGGACTGAGCTGCGTGAGCACGAAATGAGCTTTTCCCAAGGAGTTACGTGTCAATGGCCATGCCGGGAGGGGCAGTTCCTATCCAAAAACAAAGCCAGCGAGCCCCTCCGCTGCCGCAGTGCCTGGCCAAAGGTCCCCATCGTTTGTTGGCTCACCTTTGCTCTGGATCTTTTCCCAGCTGGATGTGTGGGGAGGTGCAGCCGGTTTCGGGAGCCCGCCCTGGGGAGGGACGGCGAGGGACATTTCCTCTCTCGCTGCAAGAGCGGCCGTGGTCCCTTTGGCCAAGGAAGTCCTGGGGCAGAGTTTCCACCTGCAAGCTTGTCCCACTTGGGAATGGGGCAGTGGCACGTGGCTGAGCAGCCCCATCCCTGTCCCATCATGACACATCTCGTGGCCAGCACCCAAGCTGTGTGGGACCCACACCTCTGGGGACAGCCTGATGGGGACCCTGGGTGCGGAGCTGGGACAAACCCCTCTAACCCCGCTGTCTTCTCCATTCTCTTTAGGAACCTGGTCCTGCTAAGATGGCCGTGACCAGCAGCAACATCCCCAGCGCGGAGAAGGTCCCTGCCACCAAGTCCACGCTTTGGCAGGAAGAAATGAGGGGCAAAGACCAAACAGACGGAGGCAGCGGCATCAGCCCGGCACCGAGTCCAGTGCAAGGCCAGGCCGGGGCTGCCAGCTCCCTGAAGGATCCTGTGCTGGAAAGCAAGGAAGGTGAGGGATGGTGGTGCCAGCACTGGTGTGATGCTGCGGTGACCCGGTTCAGACAGCTGAGCTGGCAAAAAAACACCATCCAGGGAAAAGTTTTCCATGGGTTCAGCTCCTGGAGCATCCCAGCAAGGAGGGGGAGGCAGACCCCATCCCTGCTACATGGGGACTGGAGCAAGGCATTACGGGCTGAAGTTCAGGAAGGAAACTGGAGCATCCCAGCAAGGAGGGGGAGGCAGACCCCATCCCTGCTACATGGGGACTGGAGCAAGGCATTACGGGCTGAAGTTCAGGAAGGAAAAAATTTACATCACATGCTGGAAAATCACAGCGTGGGGCCAGACCTGCCCTGGCAGGGAGATGGGGCTGCCCGCCTTCACAGGCGATGTTGTCCTCGCGCTGGGGGCAAAATGAGGGGGGAAAAAGCCTTTTTTAGCCCCTCCACATCCACAGCTGGGGCACCAGGAGGGTGCAGGGCTGTGCTCAGCCTGGCTGTCGGGGCTGCCAAGCCCTGAGCGCCGCTTCCTCCTCTGGCCCCTGCGTCAGGGCCCTGTTTACATTTGGTCTCCCCGATGAGTCCCTGGAAGGCGCCGTGGCCCCAGCATTGTTCTCCCTGGAACAATATGGGCTGGGGACTCTTCCTGCTGGGGCCGGGGACAGGTCCCACGCGTTGTGGCCATTTCCTTTATCTGCCCGCTCGGATGGGGGGACTCTTCCCGCCCACTCCTGGCAGCCAGGAGCGAGGTGTCCATCACCTTGCACCCCTGGAGCTGTGGTCGATGCCAGGCTGGCAAGGACAGGGATGGAAACCGGTGCAGAGCGGTGACTGCAACCATCCATTTATTGGTTTGAAGGTTTGGGTCTTTCATCTGTGCAAGCCTAACCAAGGGTTGGACCAGCATCCCCAGTTCCCTGCAGACTGTCCCACCACCCATTGGCATGAAGGGTGGTCAGGGTGGAAAAGACAAGGGTGCAAGAGATGCACAGCATGGGGCTGGGCCCAGACCATCTCTGCTCTCATTTCCTGCCCCTGTCCTGGGTGGAATTAGGGTGTGTTTTGGTAAAAGCAGAACTCGGACTTGAAACCAAGAATGGTGATTTCTTTGTCCTTTAGAGGAGAGCTCCATGAACGGAGACCGGATAGACTGTGGGCGGAAGACACTGGACTGTCCCACCACCTCCATTGGGATGAAGGGTGGTCAGGGTGGAAAGGGCAAGGGTGCAAGAGATGGCACAGCATGGGGCTGGGCCCAGACCATCTCTGCTCTCATTTCCTGCCCCTGTCCTGGGTGGAATTAGGGTGTGTTTTGGTAAAAGCAGAACTCGGACTTGAAACCAAGAATGGTGATTTCTTTGTCCTTTAGAGGAGAGCTCCATGAACGGAGACCGGATAGACTGTGGGCGGAAGACACGTGTGGAGAGCGGCTACTTCTCCTTGGAGAAGACCAAGCAAGACTCGAAGCTGGAAGAGCAGCAGCTGCCGCCCCCGCCTAGCCCCCCCAGCCCCAGCACCCCCAACAACAGGTACAGTTATCCCAAATCGCCCTCACAGGAGCATGCCCAGCCCTTTCCTTCCCCAGGTACCCGATCAGGCGACCGAATGATTCACAGCTTCTCTCTGAACTCCTTGGACTCGAAGAGCAGTTGCCCCATGCACAAGGACTCCGGCAGCAGAGATGTAGAAAGGGGAGCTGAAAAATCGGGGCGTCCCCTTTCTTTTAAAGCCAGCCGGCAATACACCACCCTGGCCGACGTTCCCAAGGCCATTAGGATCAGTAATCGTGAGGCCTTCCAGGTGGAGAGGAAGCGGCTAGAGCGGAGAACCCGGGCCCGTAGCCCTGGGAGAGAAGAAGTGGCCCGGCTCTTTGGCAATGAGAGAAGGTAAGGGATGAGTGGCTAATCTCCTCCTTGCATGCTTGCCACGGCAGCGAGACTGGGTCCCTGCTGCAGCCCCAGAGGGAGCATTTACTGGGTGAAGCCCCTTTGTATTCCAGTTCTCCTGGGTTTAGGGATGCCCATCCACACTAACCAGGCAGTGGGATGTCCTCAGTAGTGCCAGCAGGCAGGTGCCACCCTGCCTGGCTGCTTTGGGGCCAAACTGGCTGAGGTGGGTGACGTTTGGTGGCCGTATTGGTGAGCAAACCCACCCTCCCCATCCCTTCCCCGGCGCGGCACACGTTGGCAGCTGGCACCATTAATTAGGTTAGCTCTCTAAATGGTGTTAGCGCCGGGCACGTTACGCAACTGCCTAATGAGCTGAAGAGAGGTTTCAAAATGTCAGGGCATTAATCTGGGAGAGGAGAAGGCGGGCGCAGCGCCGATGGCAGGGCGCAGCAAAACAGCTTAGTGTGGAGGAGGACGGGGAGGGTGGAGGGTGTCTGCCCACACCGTGCTCTGGCGTGCCTGGTTGCTCCCCGGGCGAGGCGAAGGATGGGCTCTTCTTGCCCTGGGAGAGACACGTTTGTGCTGCAAGGGCAGCAGAGCAAACCAGGAGACGGCCCCCCCGGGGCGAGAGGGCCGCCTGCCAGTCTGATTTTCTTGCCCTGGTGTTTTCCTCCGGGCATGTTCTCTCTCGCCACGGTTTCAGCAAGATACTTCTTCTCTGGTTCTTCCCAGCCCCTAAAGGACTGTTTTCCAGCCTGGCTTCCCAGAGCTGGGAGCGGGGCTGGGAAGCACTGTGTAATTTTGTGCCCATGCTGCCAGTCGGCAGGAGGATCCCAAACCCAGCCCAGCTCCGTGTGCAGCCAGTGCTGGACTGGGAATAAAGGAGAAGAGCGTGGATTTGGCTTTCTCTGCCTTGGGAATTGGGTTATTCCCCAGATTGGAGAAGAAGGATGCCACATGGGTCCTTTGGCCACCCTGGCTGGGGATGGGGCTGAGGAAGGGCCGGTGGCTGCTCTTTTTCAGGCTGAACTGGCACAGCACTGTTGACTCAGGTGTGGGTGAGATGGTGTCCCTGCTGGGTTTTCTTGCACAGGACGCCTTGGCCAGCTCCTGCCCCACTATGAGAGGACAGCATGTTCCTCTGGTGCAGACAGTCCCTTACTCCAGCCCCGGGGGTGTCGTGCAGCACTGGGATCCAGCACAGAGCTGGGATGTGCCAGCCCAGGACAGGGAGGAGCAGATTTACAGGCAGATAACGGGGCCCAGGAGAGGATGCTGCTGCCAGGGACTGTCCTTTTTTCATGTCAGCCCCACTCATTGCCTGCTGGCGGGTGCCTTTTCCCAGGGAGAGTTTGTTTTTCCCAGCCCAGCTGGGCTCCTGGGGCTGTTAACAGGTTTTTATTGCTTGATCAGTATCGGCAAAAATTCCCCCATCTCAGCCCAGGGCCTTCATCAGAGCAGGATGGGTGTAGGGAGAGGAACGAGCCCTGTGCCAGATGCCGGGGTCTTGCTGCCCACGGGGCTGAGCCCAGTCTGTTGTTGGGGAGGGGGGTGATGGCAAAGAGTAGGGTGAGGGGTCCCCATGAGCCAGAGGGTTTGGCTGGGGATCACAGCCCATGTCTCTGGGGGAGTGTGCTGTGAGCAGGGATGAAGTGTTTAGGGACGGGCACGTTTGCTTTCTCGTCCAGTAACCTGGGAATTGGGCTGTGTGGGTGGTGTGGGTGGGGGAACCGTGTGTCCCAGAGCTCGGGTGGACTCGTCAGGGCACGGAGAGGCAGTCCCGCGTCGCACCAGAGAATTAACATTCGCCAGCACCCTGCTCAGCTTGGCTTGGCTGCTTTTTAAATTTGAGTTTACTTAGTCCACATGTCCCTCCCATTTTTCTCCTCCGAGCTCGGGTTGTGCTGTTCGAGGTTGGGCAAATACAATAATTTATTTCTATGCTGTGGGGTCAGCTTTTCCCCCCCCAGGTTTAACACCATTTCTAATAATCCTTCTCAGTAACCCACTAACACATCTGGGAACGCTTGCCTGAAATTGCTTGCCTACATGCCAGCCCGATAGGTGCCAGCCGGGCATCATTCAGATCAGCCTTTCATCTCTCAGTGCAACCAGATGAACTTGCTCTGATTCTGTTGGTATTTTCGGCTCTTCCTCCCGTTTTCCGTTTACCCACCGTAAATCAGTGTGAGTGTCGGAGGGATGGATGAAAAAGAATTATTTTAGGTACCCCAGTGCTGCATCCTGAGCGACACACCTATAGGCTGAGCTCCGGATAAAGCTGTTTTTCAAGCTTCTTGTCCTGTTTTCCTTATAGCAAGAGATATTACATGACTTATGTCCAGGACCGTGCTGGAAATTTTCCATGTCGACCATTTATACCTGACGCTGACTCCACGCCCCGTGCCGACGTCTGAGCTCACAGCTGCTCAGAAACATGAATCAGAAAAGAAAAAAAAAAAAAAAAAAAGAAAAAGAGATAATCTCCATGATTTTGGCAGAGCAGCGGAGTGTGAGTTCCCTCTGCTGGCACATGGGGCCGGCACCACGCTGCCGGCACCACATCAGGGACCCAAAACAGACTGGGAGAGAGGGTCTGTGTCCAGAGAGGTCGAGCTGTAGCTCCAGCCTCCCATTTCAGACCCATCCCTGCACTGCCGGCACCACACCAGGGACCCAAAACAGGCTGGGAGAGAGGGTTCTGTGTCCAGAGAGGTTGATCCATAGCTCCAGCCTCCCATTTCAGACCCATCCCTAGGGCAGAAGAGCTGGGGCAGCTCTTTGGAAACCCCATGGATAAATCTCAAAGCCTGTTTTGCACACAGAATCACAGCGGAGAGGGCTGGAGGGACAAGCTTGGATGCTGCTCCCCATATCCCAGCTGGGCTCTGCAGCTGCGGGGATAAATCCTGGCACATCTCAGGAAGGTGTCAGCAGCTTTGGGAAGGAGACCACCATCGGGTGGGGAGTCCTTGGGGTGCAGAGACTCAGACCCCCTTCCTCTGGGTGTGCTGCTGTGGGTCTCACCTGCCTCCTGCAGCTCCCTGGGGAGCACTGAGGATTCTGGTCGGCAAACTTGGCTTTTCTTGCACACTTCCAGGGATGCAGCCTCTAAAACCCTGGCTTTCCTGGATGACCCCATGGTCTGCTCACACTGGCAAGAGTCCGCTGTGACGTCTGCCCCATCTGCTGTAGGAGCGTGGTCAGGAGGCTGGGGAGTATTTCTAGCCTCAATAAATAGCAGAGCTGCCTGAAATCACTTAAAAGAACTTTTCTTTCTCAAATTCCTTCTCTGGAGCTTCTTGAGATGTAAGGCTCTGCTCTGAATGCTGCTTCTACCCCTAGAGAGGAGTGCCTGCAAGTATAGTTGGTTTTTTTCTTTTATAACTATCCTCTTCATTTTCGTGGACCTTTTGGGGAAACTCCTCTTCCTTTTTCTGACACTCGCTGTCTTTCTTGCTGCTGCTAAATAATGAATGAATCCAATAAAAACAAGCCCTTTCTTCCAATCAAGGAAAATCACTTTAACGATAGCTCGTGCTGGTCTTTATAGCTTTCCTTCCCACCGCACGCACCCCTCCATCTAACAGCCGAGATCCGCCGCTCGGGTTTAGTGGCCTGGAAAAGATTAACATCCTGCATGGCCCAGGAACTCCTTGGGACGAGCTTTGTAGTTGAAAAAGCACTAAGTGGCACCGCAGCTTTTAAAACGCTTCTTGGGACCTGTCTGCAGCCTTGTTTTGTCAATGCAGAGCTGCTGCACAGAGGGAGCAGCTCCTCGGCGCGGTGGGGAGGAGAGGAGAGCCCTTCCCCTCCCCGTCCCCCTGGGATCTCTAGCAGTAACCTCTCTGAAATGTTGAGCTAATGGGGAAAAAAAAAAACAAAAAAATGATTCTTTCCTGTAATCCGGATGATATTAACCCCTGGGGCTGTGATTTGGTTGCAATGATTTATTTCCCTCCTCCCTTTTTCAATGACGAATTACTGGAATGATTTTGATTTTGTTTTGTATGTAGATGCAGATATATAATTTCCTCTTCTGTTCATTCATTTTCCAGCCTTGTTTTCTTCCAGGTCTTGTTGCTCTCCACCTTCTCCTGCTGTGTTGCTGTGTGACGTGTCCGCCTTTACTTCGCCTGCTTCGCTACCATCTCATCTCAATCTCAAGCCGTAGAACAACCTGGTGGTGCAGCCCCTTTCATGAGAAATCAACCTGCTTTTGATTTTGTTTTATGGTTTTTTTCGGTTGGGATTTTTTTTTTTTCTCCTGATTTGTTTTTCTTCAGGCCTTCACCTAATAGGGCACAGACAATGTTAATTCATGGACCTCTTACTCCCTCCTAAACTGAGACTCAGAGAAGGCTTAGCCATTGTAAAAAAGGTTAAAAAAATGTGATTCCAGAACAGTTCCCTGTCCGTTGGTGAATGGAGGATGTGGATTTATGCTCCACAGATTTATGTGAATGGACATCTCATGAGCAGAACATCTCGGGGGGACTGGGAGCTCAGCACGAGGCTGGAAGCTGGCTGCTCCCAGTCTGCAAACTGGGAGGTAGCAGATGTCCCACTAAAAACATCATTTGAATTTACAAAGCAAAGTCTTCCCTACCAATTTTGTCTTTTTCTCTGTGGTTTTGGGCTTCAGTGCCCAGTCCTGGCAGCCTGGCTCTGAGCAGCAGTGGGGGGGCCCCCAGCCCGCTGGGGGACGTGATGTGCTCAGATTGTTCGTCTCATTTATGGAATTTGGTGCAAATGTTGGTTGAAAACTGAACATCTCATGGTTTTTTGAGTCCTTAATCTGCTGTTCCTTTTTGTGGGAAGTGTTAAAACTGTTTTCTTTTGGATAACCTGTTTCCCTCATGTGGTTGCCATTGTGATTTTCATGCACATTAGAGGGTCACACAGAGCAAGCAGCCCCGAATTTAGATGCGGCACGCGTGAGTCCAAATTTTGTGTCAAGAACCCACCCAGACAGAGCTTTTTGGGGAGGTTGGAAATTGAGCTTAAACCTCGCAGCTTGGAGCTTAGCTGGTGTGTGTGTTGGTAGTGGGTTATTGCTGCACATTCCCCAGGTTGTGATTAAAGACCTGAGGTTGATACTTGCCCAAACCCCCGGGCATGCAAATGTAGACACCAGCAGGTCCTTTGAAAATTCTAGTATTTCCTCTCCTTGTGGGTCAGCGAGCAATTTTTCATGCTGAAAAGGCGCTTTTAATTCCACCTGCAAAGGCCTGTTGTTTGCTCGTTCTTAGGAACATCCCGTTTGGGGTTGATCTGGGGTTGGCTCCTGTTCCATCCACATTTCTTTACAGTTCTCCATCCTCGGAGACGTGTGTGCCACGGTGTGATGGGCCACCGAGGTGGTGTCTGAGAGCTCAAGTTGTGCTCCCTGCTGTCCAACTGATTTGCAGACCAGTTTTAGAGGAGGGTAGAGCCCTGGGGTTTTGCTGGTGACATCCTGCATGGGGTGCTCCTCATCTCCTGCCTCTTCAAGCTGGTGCACCCTGTGAGCCAGACCCCTTGTCTGGAGGCACCTACGGACACTTCTCACTCAACCCTGTGGACATTACCCATGTGGGGCTGAGTGTTTGCAGGGTGTCTATTGCTGACAGCACACGGGGTGACCCGTAGGTACCCGTTACCGTACAACCCTGTGGACATTACCCATGTGGGGCAGGTGTCTGTTGCTGACAACACACGGGGTGACCCGTAGGTACCCGTTACCTCCACACCCCAACTTGGTCTGATGTGTCTCTGCTCTGTGACCTGGGGGGGGTCAGTTCTAGAGAGTAAAGATGAACCTTAAGCCAAAGCTGCCCAATAATCCCTGCTTCTCAAAGGGCTGTCAAATTTACAAGTAAAAAAGTTACTGCTGGCTGTGCAAGGATTTTCTAGATATTTAAGAAGATACTATTTGTGGAGCTGAGTAGCGTGAGGTTTTTCCCCATTTTGGCTGCAGGTAAAACGGTGCACGTCAGATTGGGGCGTTTTGCCCCAGATTTGTGAACGCTAGAGCTTGCAGAGAAACAGGGACCACAAGCCAGGTGTGCATGAACACTGGGTCGAAGCAATTCTGCAGCCTTAAATGTGGGGGATTGTACAGCTCAGCCCAGTTGCTGTGCCTGTGTTTAAACCGGCTCTGGTTTCCCCTTTTCTCTCTGTTTTCCAGACGATCCCAGGTAATTGAAAAATTTGAGGCGTTGGATATCGAGAACGCGGAGCACATGGAAACGAACGTGTCGGCCGGGGCTGCCCTTTCCAGTGAGACCCGGCAGGGCAGGAGTGAGAAGAGGGTTTTCCCTCGGAAACGGGTAAGCCCAGGTCTCGTGATGGGGTTTGGAGGGTGGTACTTGGGATCCAGCAGCCCAGAATTGATGGTTTAGCTATAGGTTTTAGCTATAGGGTTTAGCTATAGGGTTTGTTCTTGGGTGGAGCAAGGGATTGGGAGTCACAGGCAGGCCCATGCAGGAGCCAAACCGTTGCGTGTGCTCAGTCTGTGCAGGTTGGCTACTTGCTGCTCTGCTCTTTTGGCCCAGAGTGGAAAATCAGGCTGTCTTCTCTCCTTCCTCCCAAACAGAAAGAGGGAAACTTACCTGGTATGGCAGGACACATCAGGATGGGGTGAAGTAACAGAAGGAACAGTCTAGAGAGCCCAGATACGCTTAGATATATTGGGAACAAATTAGTGCCTGAGAGGACTGAAAAAACGTGTTGCCAACGAAATGACACTTGTTCTGAGCCTGAGGTGCCCCTTAAATATGTGGATTTTTATGCCGTGAGCCAAGAGAGTGGGACTCACTGTCCTAGTTCCTGCGCTGATCTGGGCTAACCTTGTTTACACAGGACTTCACTTGTGAAGGTGCAGCTGTGGGCTCCATCCTGGATGTGTCTGCATCTCCTCTGTCCCCGCATCGCCGGGCAAAGTCGCTGGACAGAAGGTCCACGGAGTCCTCTATGACGGTGAGCCACCAGGGCTGTGTCCTCTGCCTTGGGGGGAGGGTGTGAGAGGTCCTTCCCAGGCAGGTCCAGTGAAAACTGGACTGTCTGCTGCTTTGCCTGTAACCAGCACGCAGGACATAGGATACGCTTGGGTTCAGAGCAGGTTTCAATGACTTGGTGTCACGATTGACACTTGGCCCATTAAGGGGAGCAAACACATGACCTAGTTTTCTAATGCCATTTCCTTGATGTTTATCCAGTTGTGAGTGGGTGTGAGTGGGACGAAGGCTGCGAGGAAGGGCTGAACCTGCCCTCCTGAGCCTTCCTCCCTTTGCATATTTCAAATGCTCACCAGACCTGGAGGCAAACAGTACAGAACAAACACAGAAATGCTCCCTTCTCACTCACCACCCTTCTATCGGAACAAAATAAATACACTTGCTAATCTCTCAAAAAGATTACACAGCCATTGTAAATAAGAGCTGCGTTTTTTTGTGGATAGACAGCTTCTATTCAAGGACTTCTCAGAAAAATGCAGTAGCTTAGCATTTTTCTTGTAGCTTTTCATGTAGACTTGTACAGCCACAAGAGTGATTTTTAAATTCTTGGTGGTAATAAAAAGGTGCAAGAAGTGCACGTTAATTGGTCATGCACATCATCTAATGAAGGCGAGAAAATCATGCAGGCAGTGGGAAGAAAACCTTTTCCTTGCATTAAATACAGCTTCATTGTGCCATTCCTGCTGTAAAAGTAGCAACATAAGAAAAAGCTGCAGGCCTGCTGGCTTGCAGCCGTGATTGCAAGACTCTCCCCTGCCCATCAGGTTTGCTGTGTCTGATCAGGTCAGTTATCCATGCCCTCCTCAAGTTCTCTAGGGGTTTGAGAAGGGCAAGGTGGCATTTACTTGCCCTTGTTTTTCTGTAGAGCAGGGCTGGGTTCCTGCCACCGTGGGAGCACCCATATGTGGGATGTACCACCCCACAGCATAAGTTTGATGGCACAGGCTTCCAGACCCCAAATTTCCATTGCTCCCCTTGCTGTGGCTGGTTTCAGACGCTACAGCTGCATTTCACACGCTGCTCTCCTTTCCTTCTCCGCTCTGCAGCACGTGGAGCAGCTGGAGGAGCTCGGCCTCGAGGGAGCCGAAGCATTTCCAGCACATCCTTCCCTGGGAGGAAGGGCTGGCCAGAGTTATCCCACGCTGTCGTGGTTGCTTTTCTCAGAGCTTCAACACCCCGATGCACCCCCTTTGGAGGAAGGAGCAGGTGGCGTTTGGGTGTTGCAGCTCTGGGATTCCCTGTATTTCCAGCCTTGGGAACTCAGCCTTGTTTTGAACCCTGCAGCCTCGCATCAATAGCACATAGCTTTTCTTTCGTAATATATAATAGAAGGACAAAACTGCCTGCAGTCTTGCTAATTCCTTGCTTCTCCTTCCTCTGTAACGCAGTAGGAAATTACAAGAGAAATGCTAGGAAGGGGAAAGCCTGAATAAACCATACAACAAGTCTGTGTTCCTCCCGGGAGCAAACGTTTAGCTCCACGCAGTATAATGATCCAATTTAACTGTTGCTGGTCTCTTTGTATTTCTGCTCTGTGTTTTATCAAGCCAGTGCTGTTGCCTGCTCCCCGGCTGGGCACGGAGGCTTCCACCCTCCCCTCTGATTGCCTTTCTTCTTTCTTGCAGCCTGACCTGCTGAACTTCAAGAAGGGCTGGTTGACAAAGCAGTACGAGGACGGGCAGGTGAGTCCGGGCAAAGCTTCTGCCCTTCACGTTGGTCTTTGGTACCGTGGTCGGTCCCAGTTTCTGGAAGCTGACACTAATTCTAACGTCCCGGTTGCGCAGGCTTTGCATGAGGCTGCTCTTGGTGGTGACAAAGCCCTGATGGCCTTGCAGGGTAGATCAGAATTGGGCCGTGCTCCAGATGGGAGAAACTAGATGTTGGGCAGAGCGGTGGCAGGGAATTGGTTCGGCTCTGGGGCCAGGCAGCAGTGGTTGTGTGTGAGCCCTGTGCAAACGGTGTTTGTCTTGGGGTGGGAGTAGCTGGTGCTCTGTTCTGGAGAGGTTTCAAAGCCCCACGGCTGGATATCATGTCGTGGGTTTCTAGGGAGCCGGGGCAGCTTGGATAGCAGCACTGGTTTCGTGTTCCCGTTCTCTATTAGTCTCATCTCCCTTGTGACCCAGCAACCTCTTTGGCGTCAATAATGAGCCTTAGATAAAGTCTCCTCAGGCTCCAGGGAAATGGCAAGGCCAAGAAATAAATAAATGCCTCTTGAGTTGGCACCGAGGGCAGCAGCTGCTGCTGCTTTCCTCCTGCCCATCCTGGAGGGATGTGCTGCTCTTGGACCCTTAGAGACGGGCACTGATGCTGATGTGGTGTGGGTGCCCGTGGCTGTTTGCAAATGCCCCTTCCCTGGATTCCCTTCCCTCCCGCTCAGCCCATCGAGGGAAAAGGAGGGCGACTCACCCACGGCTGCGAGTACCGTGGCCTGGGCTCCGCTGTGGGTTCCTGCTGGTGTGTTGAGCCCCAGGGCATGTCTGTAGGCAGCCAGAGGGGGAATCAGCAGCTGGAGCGAGTGCTTTGTTAACTGAAAGCTGCCTTGGGTAAGCCTGTGCCTCTCTGGGAGCGTGCAGAAGGCGTATTTGTATAGAGCAAGGCCCAGGAATAGGCTCCAACTCGATTTCTAGGTAACGGCAGATAGAACATAAATGTTTTACTGCTTTTTTTAAAAATTAAAATAAAGGTCCCTCCAAGGCTTTAAGTGCAGCCACTAAAAGCATCGTCCTGCCAGCAGAGCTAATGGGAAGGCTCCGACTGCCCCCGTGGCTCTTGCGTTGTTTCACTGTCACGCGAAGGGTTGGTGACGCTGAGGGTCCAGTGCTCTGCTGGGGAAATTGGGGTCCTGGTGGTGCAAACCATCACAGTGTCCCTTGAATTGCCACCTTTTTGGGTCTCCCCTTCCCACACAGAGGGCCTCTTGGGAAAGCTGGCTGCGGAGCTGGGAGGGGAGAGGCTGCGAGCTGCCTCCTTGTAGGGCATTTCTGCTGGGTGACCTGTGACAAGGGAAGGAGCAGGATTTTAACTGCTCCATCTCGGTTGTTTCCTAGTGGAAGAAGCACTGGTTTGTGCTGACTGACCAGAGCCTGAGATACTACCGGGATTCCGTGGCGGAGGAGGTAGGTGTCATCACCATTGGTGTTCAACCCATTGTTCTGCACCCAGGGGAGCCCCAGGTGCTCCCAAACTGACCCTGGGCAGGTTGTCTGCCCCGATGCCAAGGTCCTGGAGCACTGCTCTTCAGACTTTGCGCTTCTCGAGGACCTGCTGTGTGCCTCCCTGAAAGCCCACCATGCTTTGGCGTTCCTTATTTTACCTCCTCTCTCTCCAGGCAGCTGACCTGGATGGAGAAATCGATTTATCCACCTGCTATGATGTTACTGAGTATCCGGTTCAGCGAAACTACGGCTTCCAGATCCACGTAAGTAAAATGTGGAGAGGAGGAAGAGTCTGACTGCGGGATGGCTGACGGGGCTGCTGCCTGGGGATACTCATCCATGGCAAGCAAAACACCTAAGAGGCCACCCTGCATACCCTGCCATGCTCTGGAAAGCAGTCCCCTTGGGTTTGAGAAGCAGTTTTTTTGGTTCACAAAAGATGGAGGGGAAAGGGAAGGTTTTGTCTCAGCCTCAGGGTCTCAGCTGTGGCACCAACAGCCAGACGGCTGAGAAATGTTAGTTCCCACCATGAGCGTGCTGAGGGCTGGAGGGGCTGGGTGGAGGGTGGTGTTTGGGGGGGGTGGGAAGGTGGTGGTGGGTGCAATCAGCAGCTCTGAGCTGGTCCTCCTCTTTCCCTAGACGAAGGAAGGGGAATTCACCCTCTCCGCCATGACGTCGGGCATTCGTCGCAACTGGATCCAGACCATCATGAAGCACGTTCGCCCCACCACTGCTCCCGATGTAACAAGGTAAAGGGGGGAGTTGAGCAGCCCCTGCAGGTGTCTGGTTTGCTGTGCTGGAGTAACTCTTCCCTTATCACCTTTCTTTCCTCTTTCTGAGCCTGTCCGTTCCTGGAAGCCGCGGCTCTTTCTCACATCCCTCTCTCTGGGCTTAATTTGGATATGCTTTGTGGGGATACTGATATGCTGAGTTACTCTTACGTGCAAAGATTTCAAAGAGGGTTGAAAATGTGGCTTTAATTTGTGCATAGGAATATGAAATACTGTTCCTATATCAAGGCTCCTCTGGATTCCCACCAGGTATTGTGAAACCACTTGGATTCAGTTGTGCTGGGTTCCCCCTTTCCTCTGGCTACTGTTCAGCACGAGCTGCCCATCCCTTCCGCGGGTCACGGCAGCACGAGCCCAGGGTTCAATTTAGAAGCTGTTTGGCTCTGATTTATCTTATACTCCGGCCAGCAAAATCGTCTTCCCTCCTCTTTTGATCTTCCAGATGATAGCTGCCACAGCTCGTTCCCCTTACGCGTTAGTAACGCTCGCGTCTCCTCCTGCCATCAGTGCCAGAGGAAGGGACCCCCCCGCTTCACAGAGTCCCTTCTGTGAGCGCTTGTGGCTGCGGGTAAAGGGTGTTTGACCTCCTCACAGCTAACTGTGCCAAGCCACACTCGTACGGGCCACCTCCTACAGGCTTTGTGGACACAGCCACACCATTAACTCCGTCTCCTGTCCTTACCGTAGCTGCAACAAGCAGGTTTTTGTCAGGTTTGTCCCCGTGTTGATGGAATGGCTCTTACCACCCGGTGCTGTTGACCTGGAGATGCTCCAGCCTCTCCTTCCCCATCCTGCTTGGCACTCGGCCACCATTTCCCAGCCCTGCCAGAGCTCTGGTGGATCTCGTGGGGTTCTCCGGGAAACCACCTCTCTCCTCACTCCTTTGTATGTTTGATTTCCATGCAATCCCAGGAAAAACTTCTCTTTGAAACTATCCGTGCTGAAGCCCAGGTTGGAAAACTGTGTTCTCTCCTGTATTAACGTTTTGTGGTTTGTATATCTCGTGATTCACTGCATGCTCCTCCTTTTCTGCACCTCGGATGGGAAGTCCTGCAGTTTCCATTTATTTTTCTTTCTTTTCTTTTTTTTTTTTTTCCTTCCTTTTATTTTTTTTTTTCCTTTAAATAAAAGCCAGAGCGAAGGGAGGAAGCAACCTGGTCTTGACACTTTTCCCCACACTGGTATCTTCCGATGTGACTAGATATGAAGATGAAGACCAAGGAAATTTGAGGAGACCTCTCAGCCTTTAAAGAGCCAGATATATTTATAGCCTAACGGGTTACTGCAGCGTGTTAATCCTGTGCTCTGAGCCCACACAAAGTGGTTTGACTCGGCTTACCCCACTGAGAGGGTTCAAGCGCGGGTATGTCCTTTTATTTTTTTTTTTCCTTTAAATAAAAGCCAGAGCGAAGGGAAGAAGCAACCTGGTCTTGACACTTTTCCCCACACTGGTATCTTCCGATGTGACTAGATATGAAGATGAAGACCAAGGAAATTTGAGGAGACCTCTCAGCCTTTAAAGAGCCAGATATATTTATAGCCTAACGGGTTACTGCAGCGTGTTAATCCTGTGCTCTGAGCCCACACAAAGTGGTTTGACTCGGCTTACCCCACTGAGAGGGTTCAAGCGCGGGTATGAGTTGGGCAGTAACTTGTTACGCAGCATAAATAGACCATGGTTTGACTCGGCTTACCCCACTGAGAGGGTTCAAGCGCGGGTACGAGTTGGGCAGTAACTTGTTACGCTGCATAAATAGACCGGGAATCTCAATCTTGAGCTGGGGAAAAGGGAATTACAGGTGGAAAACTTCTGTCGTTTTCCACCGAGCTGGTTTCAGAGAGGGTAGGCTCTGGCGTGGGTTAGTCACGTTGCTGAGAAGTTGTTGCTGTGAGCTGAGGGGCTGTGCTGTGCCTGAAGCGGGGCTTGTCTTCACCCAGTGCCTGCTTGCAAGCCCTTTGGGGGTGTTTGGGGTATCCCAGCCCACCCCGCCTGGCTTCGGGCACATCGTTAACATCCACACGCGGGGAGCAGCTTGTGGATGGGGCTGCTGGAAAGCTGAAGGACAGACTGCCACAGGCAGAGGTGACAAACATCTGCACAGCATGGCTGGGGTGCGAGGGGGGTGTTAGTCTGGATGCTCGGCTGTGCCGGGAGGGCAGCGGGGTTTGCCCCATCCCCAGGGCCAGTCCTACACCACAGGCTCCTGCAGCCCTCCTCTGCATCTCGTTAACCCGCTGCCATGTCTCCACCGAGCCAAACACACGTATTTGGGGTTACTCAAGTCCTAATTACTGTTTACATTACTTTGTGTGTCAGCCCTCGGGGCGGAGGGGCAGGTGCTGCTCTCCTCCCTGCCCTCAGCAGTGCCCTGCAATCTGCAGAGGCCCTAATTACACTCTGCTAACGATGACCATGCAGGTAGAAAATACCCACAAGAAAGAAGGTGGCCGCTTCAGCAGTGGGTCCTTGTTCAGCTCCCAGCACCAGTGAGGCCGAGTTCCCCAGTTGTCCCCCCCAGTTCCTTCATGCTCTTCTTGCACGCTCCCACAGTGTGCTCAGCCCGCAGCTTGCGCTGCTCCCACAGCCACCCATATTTTAAAAAAATACTTTTTATTTTGACCTATAAATACCGTTGTGAGGCAAAGACTCCCCCTCCCATGTGATGTGAATTAATTTGTCTGGGATGGAGGAGATGCGAAACGGTTGAGCAGAGTTAATAGCCATGGGGCACTTTGCGGGAGATGAAATGAGAAACTTCAGGTCAGTCTTCTGAGTCTCTTAACTCTGTTCCCAGCGGCCGTCCCTCCGCTCCCCGACACACATCCCCTGCCCTTTGGAAAGCAGCAGAGGAGAAACGAGCTCCTGGGAGATGTCACCTCTAGAAATGCCGAGATTCTTCCACATGGTATTTAGAGCAGCAGGATTTCTGTCTCCTAACAACATCCAAAGGGGCCCCAGGAACCCCTTTTTTCCTAAGGCTCTTCTCCATTTTAAGACTCCATCTCATCCCCGCTTTACTTATTTAAAATGCAGCTGTAATCACTAACTGACTCCAGATTGAGCGCCTGGCTTTGGAGTCATGCAATATCTTCTAATGGTTGAGGTGCGAGGAGGTTTCATCGTGGCGCCTTTTGGGATTATTTTATTAGCTGCAAGTGACAGAGCTGAAGAAGGAATTATCTCCGAGCTGGTTTTAGACTGTTAACTGCCAGAGTTTTTTGAAACCCAGCTCTGCTGAGCCTGTGGTTTGAGCGTGGATGAAAGTGCATCGGAAGATACTAGCCCTGGACCCGCGTAGAGTCATCTCTTCTGCTCCATTCTTTGTTTTGGGCACATGCACATACGTGAGGTTGTTGGCTGTGGGAGCTGGGGTGTGTTTCCAAGGTGGGAGGAGAAGCTGTGCCCCTGCTGCTCCCTCCTGGTCCCGGCACTCGGGGTGCATGTTGTCCATGGGTCACCGATAGCGGTGATTTGCCTGCAGCGAAGGGCCTGGGGAGCTGCTTTCCAGGCTCTTCCCACTTCTTCATTCTAGAAAGCTTGTGGAGGCTGTGCTGGAGGCTGGAGGGGGATGCTGTGGTTGTACTGGAAGGGGGGAGAGCCAGGAGTCAGGCTGAGCATCAGGGCTGCACCTCAGGAGGCATCTCGGGGGCTTCTGATAGCAAAGAGGGTTCAGCAAATGCCTGCCAGTCCCTCGGCACAGGCTTCCTCTGCCAACTTAGCATACTGCTATTTTCTTTTTTAATTTTGATCTGCATGTTACAAGGCTGGCATGTCTACATTTAATGAGCTAATAACTGCCTTATGAATTAGTAGGTTGGAAACGGTATTGCCTTCCCCTATTAACTTACCCTGCTTGACGAGTATGTCTCCCCTCTCAACCCACCACCCTCTAACTCAGCACTAAAACTCATTCCTTGCTTGAGAAATGGACATTTTCGGTGACGTCCGTGGTCTGTTGAATAACTCTTGCTCTCCTTGCTGCCCCAACAACTGCACGTTCGGCGCGCGGCCCCCGCGCCGGGGCGGCTGCCCACAAGGCTGGTTTCCCCGGGGGAGCTCTGTGCCTTCAGTGCAGATAGTGGCACGGAGAAGTTTTCGACCCATTAATACCCTGACTTCGCCAAGCACGAGGAAAACCTTCCCCCCTTCTTAACCCAAGACCTCTGGGAGCTGCTCTGAGCTTCTCCGCCCGGCGGCTCTGAAGCCAGGCTGACTTTGGTGGGACTGGTGACATCCTCCCCACAAGCACGTGACTATGGCCACCCGGACCGGCGTGTGTGCATGGAGCCCTGCACCCGGGGAGGCGGGCGGCCAGCCTGTGGGCACCGGAGGAGCTTTTGAGGCCTCTTTCCCGTCCAGCAGGATGGTTTGGGGTCACTGCCTTGGCCATGGGCTGCTGATGGGTCACCGTCGCTGGCCCCAGGGAGGAGCGAGGTCAGGATCGGCTGCTCTCCGGGGGCTTGGGGGTGCCCAGGAGCAGCCGGGGCCGCTTGCACCAAGGCTTTGCACACCAGCGCGACCCCTTCTCGGCTCCTGCGCCCGAGAGGTGCCAGGAGACAGAGGGGCAGGGGGGCACCCACCTGGCATTGGCTTGGGCTTCCAGCAGCCCCTTTCCACCCGGCTCTTCGAGGCATGCGTGGGAGCGCCCGGCCGTCTCGAGCACCCACTGACGCTTTTCCTTCACCCTCTCTCTCTCTGTCCTCACAGCTCCCTGCCGGAAGAGAAAAGCAAAACAAGCTCTTCCTTCGAGACCGGTCCAAAACCGAGTGAGAAGCCGGATGCGGAGCAAGCTGAGCTGGACCCGGAGCAGAAGCGGAGCCGTGCCCGGGAGCGCCGGCGAGAAGGACGGTCCAAGACCTTCGACTGGGCTGAATTTCGCCCCATCCAGCAAGCCCTGGCGCAGGAGCGTGCAAACGCTGCAGACTCCTCCAAAGGTGGCTCTGCCGCCTTCCCCAGGGACACCGGTGCCACCGACGCCGACCCGGGAGAGCTGGAGCGGGAGCGGGCCCGCCGGCGGGAAGAGCGGCGCAAGCGCTTTGAGATGATCGACGCCGTGGACGGGGCAGGGTCGGAAGAAGCCCTAAGGATGGAGGTGGACCGGATCCTGCCCGTCCCCACCGACATCAAACCGCAGAACGTCCACGTGGAGATCGAGCAGCGCTGGCACCAGGTGGAGACCACCCCGTTGCGGGAGGAGAAGCAGATCCCCATCGCGCCCCTGCACCTTGCCCACGCTGAGGACCGGGATGAGGGGCTGACGAAGCAGCACTTGACCACGCTGCTGGAGAAGGAGGTAAAGCAGGGTGCGTGGGGTGCAGGCTGCCTGCCAAAATGGCCTTCAGGCCACTGCTGGAGCTGTAGGAAGCCTGAGCAAGGCTTTATAAAGCTGCATTTATTCCTACTTTGGAATAGCAGTGAGTGGGGATGCTGTAGGGTCCCCTGGGGAGCTGGCAGGGCACAGATCCGTGTGGGTTCCCATGCAGCTCTAGTGTTCCCATGTCTACAGAATGGGCTGTTCTTCCAAGGGTGGGACTTCCTTACCCTCTCCCAGCCAACACAGCCTCCGCTTCTGGTGGGCATTAGCTGTCCTGCCTCTGATGAGAGGGGTACAATTGATCTGTAACCACCAGACTCTAAAATCAAGCTCGCAATTCTGCGTGCCTCCGCAGCCGTAGAGATTTGTGTCTGCCATTACATCTACAAAACTACACACTGGCTTCAGTGGTAGCTGACACCACAAAGGTTCCTTTTCTGTGGAGCCTACATCAAACAATCTTAGAATTTTAGGAAAAGAGAAGGGGAGACTCGGCTCGCTTGGAAGAGGTCCACGCCTGGGATAACAAAGGTTGTTGTTAGTTGGGATTAAGGTGCATTAGGGGGAATGAAAGGGGTGCAGGCGTGGAGTAACCAGGGGTATCGCCGATCTGAACCGGGCTGGGATTTGCCTGGGTCATGCCTGGCACGAGCTGGTGCCGTTCAGCCTTCGCTGCAGTGAGCTTTACGAATTAAACCACTGCGTAACTTAGTTCTTTCAGGGGGAGGGATTTTGCCTGGCAAAATGAAATCCAGATCCCAGGGCAGAGCAAAGCAGCGGTGCCATCAAAAAGCCCGTTCAGTTCTGCCCCGCGTCCCCTCTCAGCCCCCTGCTCCTCATGGCTGACCCTCTGCCCACTCGCTGGACATTGTCTCTGTTCGTGTCCCTCCAGCTGGAGCAGAAGCAGAAGGAGGCCCTGGAGCTCCTGGAGCAGAACCGGCACCTGCAGGACCAGCTGAAAGTGGCTCTGGGCCGGGAGCAGAGCGCCCGGGAGGGCTACGTGTTGCAGGTAGGAGAGCGGGGAGGAGAGAGAAGTCCATCTTCCTCTGCGCCCAAGGGGGACCCTGGTGGGCTTCAGTCCAGGGTGTTCGTGGGGGCACCTTGGTTGATGCAGAGATGTGCACCACCGAGTGGGCTCCAGGAGATTTGACCTTCTTGCAGATATTGCTAATTCTGTAGCCTTACCAGAATCACCTACTTAATAAAACCTCTCATCTGGGGTGCAGTGGACAGGAAATAGCTTTACCTAGGGGCATCCCTGAGGGAAAACAAAACACAGCCATGGCAGGCAGGTGGGACCTCAGCAAAGTCCACCTCTGATCCATCCCATACTGTGTTTGCCTGTGCAACAGCTCTTTCCCTCTTTCTGTGCCCCAGACGTTCCCCTCAAGCAGTGGGGTGCACATAAGGCTTTCTAAGCCTCTTGTAGCCCAGCAGTTGCTCCTGGCCAGGGAGTTTGTGGGGCAGTGACATGGACAAACTTGGCACACACAGGCGCGTGTCCCGGGCCCTTTCCCCGCAGCCAGAGAGAGGTTTGCACCAGGAAAACCTGTCGTCTTGGATCGCTGTGGTGGTTTCTTCTGTTACAAGGTGCCTTTCCTCAGCAAAGCCTAGAAGTGTGTTTTGGAGGTTCTGGCAAAAGAAGCAGGAGAGTCCCTTGTGAAGCCTTTCCTCCCTTTCTCCAAACAAAGCCAACTTTTCCAGCCCTTCCTCTGGGAGCATCCATGCCTGGAGGAGCCGTGACGCCTACAGGGCAGCTTCTGGCTGCTCTCCTGGGGTCTGGTTTGTACAGGGGCAGAGTTTTGACCTGCTCAGATCTGCTTGGCCGGACTGGCTCTGGATCAAAGTGGCCATGTGTGGCAGCAAACCCGGTGTCAACGCTGAACTTTGTGTCCTTATTTCTCACGGGAGAAATTTCCCCTGAAGAAGTGGCACAGGCAGTGGGGCCAGCCCAGGCAGGGGGGCCTTCCTTGCCAGTGGTCTCCTCGGAGGAGTTATCAATGCATTTATTTCTGGAGTCCCTGAGCTGACAGCTCTTGCTTGGAGGAGTTCCACTGTCATTTGGCTGTGTTGGAAGAGTAACTAACTCCCACTTCCCTGGGGCAAAGGCATCTGGCCTCCCTTAGCCTGGAGCCTGGAAAAATCAGGGAATGGGGCTAAAAACTGGATGCTGAATCCATAGCTGTGTTGAAGTTGGCTGTAGGACCTCAGTACAAGGAGTGGGGGCAAGAGGGGAAGCCTGCAGAAGGGCTGAGCAAATCATGACTGCAGTGAGAAGTGACCCAAACTTTGACCTAGAGGGTGGAGAGGGTTTTTGGAAGGGTTGGAGGCTTTTCCTTGCTCCAGTCTAATTGTTCTGGGGGGTTTCCCTTCTGTTTTCCCGGGAGCAGAAGGATTAAAGTCCTGTTGCAGAGAGGAGTAACCCCACCAAACCCTGCTGGGGTAGAAGGAATAGAATCGTTGGGGGGGGGGTTCTTTTTTTGGACAAACCCTCTGAATTTGATGTGCCCTCAACCTCCATCGTGCCTAATTTTGGAGGGGTTCCTACATTGTCTATGGGAAGGGACGATTGAGGAACCTGACTGCTGCCAGCCCATCCCTCCTGAGCTGCTTGGGGGGCACCGACCCCTCCTTGGCAGCGTGACCAGCCCCCTGCAGACCCCCAGGTGCTGCCCCAACATAAAAGACGCTGCACGTTTCGCAAGGCAGCTGCTGAGACACCCACCCCCATGCATGTGCCCTGCACCGAAGCCTCTCCCGGCCTCCTGTAACCCCTCTCTTGCTCTGAGCTTCCTCGGGATGGGGCACCCCAACTTGGAACCCTACTGGGAGAAACGGTGGGGGCTCCTGCTCCTCACAAACCGACTGGAGATGCCCCCTGGCTCCGGTCAGGGTGGGAGGGAGGGGGGGTCACGTACTAACCTGTCCCGGGGTGGATGTTCTTGCATGTTTTTTTTGGTGTAAAGCATGAAATTTAACTTAACATAACTGAGTGTCACATCTGTGGGCTTTCCTTATCAGCAACCAGAGTACAGCAAGGCAGGCCAAATTCCTAGGCTTAACGCTGTGCTTCTCTCGCCTCTTCCTGTCTGTGTATTTTTTTTAAAGATACATAATATCTGTCGCCTTTTGCATGACTCTCTCTCGTGAGTTTTCTCTTTGCATGCTACATTGCTTTGGTTTGAATCTCACAAAGGTTGGTTTCTGTTGTTTTACATTCTCATCACACCTCTTCCCTCCCTTCCCTTGTCGGGCTTTTTATTTTGTCCTTTGTTGGGTTTTTTTTTTTTTGGTTTTGGTTTTTTGTTTTGGTTTGGTTTTTTTGCAGGTGATTAAGTCCTCCCTAAGTCTTAAAGTCTTAAACTTTAGCATAACAACATCTCTTTCATGCAATGAGCAGCCACTAAGTCCTGTTTGGCAGTTACAGAAATGACATCGCCGGCTGTCCTGCCTCCCTGCGTTTGGGTGGGATGTGATGTCATTTGCTGTCACCTCACTTTCTGTTGTTGCTTTTGGTTGGTAGGACTGTGTTACCTGAACTGTGCACTTTTTGTTTCACACACACCAAAAAAAAAAAAAAAAAAAAG